CTCCATCCACAGAGTTGAAGCCGCGTTATCGCGAGGTTGGTCTTATTTTGAAATCAGGAGCAGGGGCTTTGTTTACTTCCGGTGTACACAGAAAGGTTCAGAACGGCTGGTTCTGCAAGAAAAGGTACTAAATATGTTGACAGTGATGGTTTCAGCGTTAACCACCGAGAGCCGTGTTATAGAAAATGTGCTTTCGTCACTTTTTGTGTGTGTTTTCAGCGAGCTTTGCTTTTCTGTCCTGTTATACGATCACGACGGTAAAATAAGCATTTGGCCCTAAAACTGAAGTATACACAGTAACGAGCTTGGTGACGCTACGCGATGAGCAGTGAAAAAGAGGCTTTCTAATGGACACGTGTTTTCATGCGGTCATGTTCGCAGCAGAGCGCAGGGGTCAGATTTCCTGCCTTCTTGGTTTATTCCTGCTGCTTATATATGTCGCACTAAATGTGCAGTAATCACACGCCTGGACTCAACAACACCACGTGTGACTCATGTCATGTTTGCATGTGTGTGCAGGTGTTAACGATGACAGTCCTGAATCTGTCCTTTGCTGCGTGTGGTTTCCTGGGGATCTATCACTTGGGTGCCACGGAGGCCTTTCTCCGGCACGGGCACAAGCTGCTGGGCTCGCTCGGGGCCTGTGCTGGTGCTTCTGCTGGGGCACTGGTGGCTGCTGTAATGATCACAGCTCCTGAAAAGTTGGAGGTATGGTGCACAGTCCAGGGGTATGTGGGGTCAGTGAAACCCTCTGGTCTCTGAGCAGAATGGAGACAAACTATATCAGTATTTCTCTCTCCTGATTCTTGTTTCTTCTTCTTTAGTACTGCAGTTGTTATATGTGTGTGAACGGGACTAAAGACTTTGTCAGGGTGAATGATGCTCAGGGATACTTGCTGTCACAGACTTGAAGAAGTGTCTGTTTTAGTGATGCACGCTGTAACAGCCGATCCTATAAAATAGCAACTCAGATCTGAGTGATTAACTGTAAATTCAGGAATCTAGATGAACAACAAGCGATTGAGTGAGATGTTATTAAAAGGCGCACTGTGCTCGTATATCCTCTGTTCTCAGTTCTGCAGATTTCAGACTTTGATTGTATTGAGATAAATCACCAGGAAAAATGAATCTATGAGTGTTGAGCTGAGTGAATGAACTTTGTTACACTAGTGACTGAATGATCTGAGTGTGCTTTCATCGTGGTGTTTGTTTCCTTCTTCCAGCACTGCAAAGACTTCACCTACAGGTTTGCTGACAGTGTGAGGCAGCAGCGGTTTGGGGCCGTCACACCAGGATACAACTTTATGCTCACACTCCGGTAACTACTTAGCAGAAGCCTCCTCAACAATCACCGCACAATGTTACACGATGGAGGTGTTGATGGACCTGTAACATTGTTGCTGTGAATACTGGTTGGTGGTCAATGACCAGCTTAAACACTGGAGATATTTTCCACCTGCTGCAGCGTCATAGCTCGGTCTCACACAGGGGAAGGTGTTTGTTTAACGCCACAGCAGCAGTGACATAGACAGATTCATTATCCCCTGAGGTTAACTTGCAGTTACTTTTATGATCCTCGTGTTTCTGTACCGTACACCATTATCAGGTCAGAAAGCTACTGCCTTTACCAAACCAGTCGGTCTCTTCAGATTCAACAGGCATGAATCACAGGTAGTATCCACGGGTTAAAGAGCCTGTTTCAAACATTCCCACAGTTCACACTTCATGTCAGGACTAAACAAACGACGTCGTCCACATAACCCTGGAGCACCGTCGCCTGCAGCTGTGCAAAGATGTTTGGTTCTTTCTGAAGAATTCCCTGTTTGGCTGAATTGAGCCTGAGCAGGACGTGTTTGGCCTGGATGCTGTCAGCGTCAGGACTGTGTGGAAGAACATGAACTCTTAAGACTCATGCTTTCTGTCAGTGAGCTCGTTTGTCAGAAAGACTCAGCTGCAGGTCTGTTAATCAGAGGAATCATCATGTGCTTTTTAATTT